CATTTTCCTTCTCCCTGACGGAGGCGAGGGCGGCGAGCGGCGGGAGGGCCCAGGGCGGGTACCAGGGGTTCTTGGCGGCCAGGGGCACCCCCATGCCCCCTAAAGGCGTCATGGGGGAGGTAGGGGAGACGCCCCCTAGATCAGGGTAGAGGGACAGGAGCGGGTGTCTCGCTGCTAGGACGGACATGTGACTCATCAGTCCTAATCTGCGGAAGGGAGGGACATGGTTGTAAATAAGGGGTTGTAGCTGGTTATTAACAGCCGTTGTAGATGTTATTAATTCATAGCGGTTGTAAATGTCTGTTAATAAGTGTTGTATTAACTATTAATAAATGTTGTAAAGTGTTATATAGATCTTGTAAATGATTGTAAATTGATATTGTAAATAATAATTATATATATATATATATATATATATATATATATATATATATATATATATATATATATATGTCGTACCTAGTAGCCAGAACGCACTTCTCAGCCTACTATGCAAGGCCAGATTTGCCTAATAAGCCAAGTTTTCATGAATTAATTGTTTTTCGACGACCTAACCTACCTAACCTAACCTAACTTTTTCGGCTACCTAACCTAACCTAACCTATAAAGATAGGTTTGGTTAGGTTAGGTAGGGTTGGTTAGGTTCCGTCATATATCTACGTAAATTTTAACTACAATAAAAAAAAATTTACCTCATACATAATGAAATGGGTAGCTTTATCTTTTCATAAGAAAAAAAAATTGAGAAAATATATTAATTCAGGAAAACTTGGCTTATTAGGCAAATTTGGCCTTGCATAGTAGGCTGACAAGTGCGTTCTGGCTACTAGGTACGACATATATATATATATATATATATATATATATATATATATATATATATATATATATATATATATATATGGCCGCTGAACCTGTACAGTACAAGCCTAACCCATTTGTCAACAAGAGCGCTCTCAAGAAAAAAAAGTTAAGAATTAGCAAATCAAATAGTAACAGATACACATAGAAACCCGACATCAAGAATGATATCGTAGTAAAGAAAGCGTAGAAACCCACCAGAAAAATCATCAAAGAAAACGCAAGGCGATGAATTTATAAGACAAACTACATTAGGGACACAACATGCCTCGATGCAGACGAGGAGTCACAATAACGTGGCTGAAATATGTTGACCAAACCACACACTGGAAAGTGAAAGGTACGACGACGTTTCGGTCCGTCCTGGACCATTCTCAAGTGGACCGAAACGTCGTCGTCCGTTCACCTTCTAGTGTGTGGTCTGGTCAACAACATATCTCGCCCGCCTGTCAATTGTAGTTGATTTTTAAAAGGCTTTACATAATAAACGGGGCAAACATTTGATAAATCTACATACACAATCTGCAACTGCTTTACCACGATTATAAGTTGCATAAACACGTTCACTGGTGGGATTTAGTTGAGCCCATGGTGTGTCTGGGATATGAGGACAAGGAGCCCAGCTCCTTGTCCTCGTATCCCAGCTCCTTGTCCTCATTTCCCAGCTCCTTGTCCTCATATCCCAGCTCCTTGTCCTCATATCCCAGCTCCTTGTCCTCATAACCCAGCTCCTTGTCCTCATATCCCAGCTCCTTGTCCTCATATCCCAGCTCCTTGTCCTCATAACCCAGCTCCTTGTCCTCATATCCCAGCTCCTTGTCCACATATCCCAGCTCCTTGTCCTCATATCCCAGCTCCTTGTTCACATATCCCAGCTCCTTGTCCTCATATCCCAGCTCCTTGTCCTCATTTCCCAGCTCCTTGTCCTCATATCCCAGCTCCTTGTCCTTATATCCCAGCTCCTTGTCCTCATATCCCAGCTCCTAAGCTTGCAGTAGCTTACATACGTGGTGACCTAGTTTTGTAATCAAGTTACAGATTCGCTGAGAATTACAAAACTTTACAACAAAAATACAATCAAAATTCTCTCTCTCTCTGTATACTCAAACGAGCATCTGAACTAAAGTAGCCTTCAATACTTTGAAATAATATAGGGAAAAGACTGAAAAAAACCCAGCTTAGCAGTGCCACTGTAGACAGAGTGCCAGAGCCAGCCTAGCAGTGCCACTGTAGACAGTGCCAGAACCAGCTTAGCAGTGCCACTGTAGACAGAGTGCCAGAGCCAGCTTAGCAGTGCCACTGTAGACAGAGTGCCAGAGCCAGCCTAGCAGTACCACTGTAGACAGAGTGCCAGAGCCAGCCTAGCAGTGCCACTGTAGACAGAGTGCCAGAGCCAGCCTAGCAGTAGCAGTGCCACTGTAGACAGAGTGCCAGAGCCAGCCTAGCAGTGCCACTGTAGACAGTGCCAGAGCCAGCCTAGCAGTGCCACTGTAGACAGAGTGCCAGAGCCAGCCTAGCAGTGCCACTGTAGACAGAGTGCCACAGCCAGCTGATAGACACCAGCACCTCGACGGTGGGGGATAAAAATGTGTAATGCTAATTTTTTTGTTTTTTGTTCACATTAATTAGCGCAACAAGCGGATTCCGCGCGCCGCGAATTCCCCGCCAACTGTATTCTTGTATTTTGTCGAAAATGCAACTTGTGGATATTTTATCCGGAGGTGATCGGTTAAGAGCACATATGGGGGGAGGTTAATGGGGAGGGGGGAGGTTTATGGGGGGGGGGAGGTTTATGGGGGGGAGGTTTATGGGGGGGAGGTTTATGGGGGGGGGGGGTTATGGGGGGGTTATGGGGGGTTATGGGGGGAGGTTATAGGGGAAGGTTTATGGGGTGATTTATGGGGGGGGGGGTTTGGTGGTTTATGGGGGAGGTTTATGGGGAGGTTTATGGGGGTGATTTATGGGGGGGGGGTTTGGTGGTTTATGGGGGAGGTTTATGGGGGAGGCTTATGGGGAAGGTTTATGGAGGAGGTTTATGGGGGGGTTTATGGGGAGGTTTATGGGGGGGGAGTTTGGTGGTTTATGGGGGAGGTTTGTGTGGGAAGTTTATGGGGGAGGTTTATGGGGAAGGTTTATGGGGGGGGTTTATGGGGGAGGTTTATGGGGGAGGTTTATGGGGGAGGTTTATGGGGGAGGTTTATGGGGGGAGGTTTATGGGGGGAGGTTTATGGGGGAGGTTTATGGGGGAGGTTTATGGGGGAGGCTTATGGGGGAGGTTTATGGGGGAGGTTTATGGGGGAGGTTTATGGGGGGAGGTTTATGGGGGAGGTTTATGGGGGGAGGTTTATGGGGGAGGTTTATGGGGGAGGTTTATGGGGGGAGGTTTATGGGGAGGTTTATGGGGGGGGGGAGTTTGGTGGTTTATGGGGGAGGTTTGTGTGGGAAGTTTATGGGGGAGGTTTATGGGGAAGGTTTATGGGGGGGGTTTATGGGGGAGGTTTATGGGGGAAGTTTATGGGGGAGGTTTATGGGGGAGGTTTATGGGGGGAGGTTTATGGGGGGAGGTTTATGGGGGAGGTTTATGGGGGAGGTTTATGGGGGAGGCTTATGAGGGAGGTTTATGGGGGAGGTTTATGGGGGAGGTTTATGGGGGGAGGTTTATGGGGGAGGTTTATGGGGGGAGGTTTATGGGGGAGGTTTATGGGGGAGGTTTATGGGGGGAGGTTTATGGGGGAGGTTTATGGGGGAGGTTTATGGGGGGAGGTTTATGGGGGAGGTTTATGGGGGAGGTTTATGGGGGGAGGTTTATGGGGGAGGTATATGGGGGAGGTTTATGGGGGGAGGTTTATGGGGGGAGGTTTATGGGGGAGGTTTATGGGGGAGGTTTATGGGGGAGGTTTATGGGGGAGGCTTATGGGGGAGGTTTATGGGGGAGGTTTATGGGGGAGGCTTATGGGGGAGGTTTATGGGGGAGGTTTATGGGGGAGGTTTATGGGGGGAGGTTTATGGGAGAGGTTTATGGGGGGAGGTTTATGGGGGGAGGCTTATGGGGGAGGTTTATGGGTATGCTGTTGGTCTAGTGCTGTTCTTAATAATAAATGTAACAATTATCATATTAACACTAATTATATTAATAATAAATTAATTAATTATGCAAATGAAATAATTATATGAAAATTATAATAATTATAATCATATTAACAATAATCATATTAATACAAATTATCTCAATAATTACATGATAATTATAATATTATATTTATTAGGATTATATTATTATTAATATTTATTAATTATTACAGAATATTTATGTTGCGATATTCTACATTTCAAATCTTTAGATGTTTGCCCAACATAGAACTTATTACAGTCCTTACAAGGTATTTTATAAATGACACAATTATCACTACGAGGGCTGTTCCTAACTAATAGCTTACCAACAGTGTTTTCGTAGCTAAACATTACATCTATATTAAAAATGTGTAATACATCTTCCTTCTGAAGATGTATTAATATACGAAAGTACTTAAGGAAATTCCTGTTTCATTTTCCTCCGTGGTCTGACATTGTCACATTTTTAATCACGTGTTTATTTTCGTGATATATACACACACACACACACACACACACACACACACACACACACACACACACACACACACACATATATATATATATATATATATATATATATATATATATATTAAATATGACCGAAAAAGTAAGATTAATAATTCTAACACGAATTTTCTCAATCTTTCGTACATTTCTTTTCACTGTTGGAGGTAATTCAAAAATCAATTCTCCAAAATTCATTTTTATTTCTAGTCTGACGCGACACTTGAGCGCGTTTCGTAAAACTTATTACATTTTCAAAGACTTTAGTTAACACATACACAACTGAATAGAACTTACACATCTCCGATTTTGTTTATATCTACATTTGAGTGAGGTGGATGGGGTGAGGTGGTATTTAATAAGGTATTAATTTCATCAACACAAGCCAGAACATCACCATCTGGTCACCATTTGGTCCGGGAGACATCTCCCGTCACGCAGGGTGCAGTCGCACCTCCACAGATCTCCAGTATCAGCTCTTGATACTGGTGATGGCTCAAAAGGGCCACCACTTACGAGCTATTCATGCCTGTGCCACCTTTTGGGTTGCTTCATCTTCATCTTAACACATTCACAAGGGAGACATCTCCCGTCACGCAGGGTGCAGTCGCACCTCCACAGATCTCCAGTATCATCTATTGATACTGGTGATGGCTTAAAAGGGCCACCACTTACGGGCTATTCATGCCCGTGCCACCTTTTGGGTGGCTTAATCTTCATCAATCAA